AGCCACCGGCGGGACCGGCCTCGGGGCAAACGAGAAAACAAAAGAGAACAAGAGCGCTCGCCGGGACACGCGCGAGCCCCCGCCTCCAAACGCGCATGTGTGCGTCACCTTGGTCAAACTGCTTCTGGATGTTGTCCTGGTCCGTCTTGTTGCCACTGACGCGGTACAAGCCTTCCGTGGTCAAACCTGCCAACACACGCGCAGCGGCAAACATGAAGCAAACGCGCCGTGACCGTCGATTCGCCGGCCCGCCAAATGGCGCGCGGCAAACAACAGGACCCCGTAGCGCTACGCGCGCATGGATCCGGAGGTCGCGCGTCCGACTGAAACGAACGCAAAGGCGAGGAATCTCATCCGCCGCAGCTGCCCATTGACCGCGCGTGGCAAGCGAGTCGGTGGCGTGAAACGAGGCGAGAGGACCAACTTTCCGATGCCCAACCAGCAGCGGCTTGGCTGGTGTCCGGACCCGATCGGCCGCTTCCCCAAAAGGGGATGGATGGCAGCGGGCTTGCGTGCACGCCTTCCACCTTCATGTTTCTTCAAACACATGAAAGGCGTGACACGTCAATTTCGTGGAACGGCTTGATTTGGGCTGGCACGAGAGAAAAAAGGGCCATTTGAGGGCCTTGGTTGGTATTTTGAAAACTGATTTTTTTTTTTACATTTGGTCTCAGGACAAGGGCAGTTACTCAGAAACGGCAACATTTGAGCGTTTTTTCTGTGGATGGTTTCAAATGTACAGTCATGGGTGGGTGACGTCAACAAATTAGCATGCGCACGAAATTTCCACGCCTTTTCCAAAACTGTCAAAAATCTGACTCGGTCCAGGAAAATCGATTTTCAGCTTCTACAATTGTTCCGGGTTCTCCGTGACCGTACAAACCCCGGCCGGGGTGAGGGAGGGCTTTTTATTTCAGTCTCATCAAAATGTGGGACAAGATACGACAATGTAGGAATCATGCCAACGATGCCAAGATGTTTTTTTTCCTTTGTGTGTGAACTCAAAGAATGATGAATTGCGAGACTCCTAAACATTATTAACGAATACATTTATTACAATCCATATATTGTTTGACAGCAAGGCTTAGTGCCGTGTGCTCATAAAAAGGATGTGCGGGTGTGCTCGAAGATGCCAGTGCTATACAAAAAAAAAAAAAAAAAACCAAAAAGGGAAAAATGTCAGGTGGCGGCGGCGCAAAGAGAGAAAGCGGGGCTCACCCGTGCGCTCGATGTAGTCGACGCACTTCTCGATGAAGAGCGGGATGGGCCGCTCGGGGCACACCAAGTTGTGCAGCGGGACGCCAAAGTAGTTGCTCTCCCACGTTCGCCGCGTGGGCGGGTACAGCGGCTTCGGCGCCTTCGACGATTTGGCCTGGACAGCAACGACAAGAAAAGATGGCGTGACGACACCGTCGGCGGCGCTCGGTGCGACTGCGAATCTGATGAAATGAACTACAAGTGCCTGGAGCCTTCAAACGCGGGCCGTATTGGGTTAAGGTCCCGTGATTGACACGCGCAGTCTAAGACCTTCCTTCCCCC